TGATGTATGGAGTCCCAATTTGCAATGTTCGGTGACCTAATGAGAATTTTTGGCAAAGTTTAGTAACTATTTATGGAAGTTTTGAAATTTGGTGACCTCCTGAAAACTTTTGACAAAGTTCAATGACTATTTAGAAAATGAATTAGAAAAAATGGAACTAAAGGTCTCTATTTATAGATTTTCAAGTGACTCTTAGAATGTTGTATCTCTTAATATACATCACACTTTTTTCACATTAAATGGTGTAATATACACATTTTCATTGAAATGTTGCAAATTGGATGTCTCCAATATGTGCCTCTTCAATTGTAAAGAGTCATGTTAAAATGAATATGATTATTTAAAAGGTGTATTCTACGTCATTTAATGTGAAAATGTGTGACCACTTTGAAAGTAAACAATAGATCTAAACAAAATAAACAAAACTTAAAACCCCAGAAAATATAAACTAATTTGTTGAAAAAAATTCCAAACCAAACCAAACCCAAAAAAAAAGAAAAGAAAAGAAACCAACCCCAAAACTCCAAACACATACACCCGTTAAAAAAATTATATCTTGGAAAAATGGTTAAATCTTGTGCTAAAACAAATTAAACAATTAGCACAATCATTCTTATTCGCGGCAAGAGCTTTCACCAGTTTCACGTATGAATGAAGATATGAATCTGATTCAATTCAAAGTGGGTTGGTAAAAGGGAACAATACTCCATAGTCTTCCACACAAATCAGCGTCGCCATCGTCTTCCACACACACTGAATCATAAATCGACACTGTGTAACAGATCAGAGCGCCGCCTAACAGAGCATGGAGCACCGAAATTAGCCGTGGAAAAGTCCGCCAACCGCCCAAATCCGCTGTGGAAAACTCTGCTATCTCGCCGGATCGAAGAGAGAAGTGTGAGAGAGCGAGAAGAACGGTGGTCGTCGGAGAGCGAGAAGAGAGAAGACGGCGACAGACGACATGAGGAATATAGAGGCGGGAGGAGAAGAGACGGCGTGGAGAGAGATGAATTTAGATTTTTGATTTTGGGATGAAATTATTAATTGGGATGAAAATTTATAATTAGTATTTAATTAGATATAAAAAACCTGATTTTTGAAAAATTAAACTAGTGATCTGATTTGTGAGATTGGAAATCTAATTCCAGGTGTATGTGTAATTTCCTCATAAATAAATAGCCCAAATTCAATCCAAAAGCAATGGACCCATTTATGAATCAATTACCCAAAAGCATACCCACAGGTCACAGCCCACAAAATATAATCCCGACTACATACACACCTTATTTTTCCTCAAATCTCTTCTCTGCGCGATAGGCGACTACGCCGCGACTTCATCTCCGTGGCTCCGCCAACGACCAAAGCCCACCGCACACCGCCCCTACCCCTTTTCTGCGCGTCGACCAGTTCGGCTCCGGCAGTTCGTAGTGATTGAATTGAACATTGGTCAGTCAATCTAACTTGCCTATTTTGGTACTCAAAATCGTCGTTTTCAGTCCTTTTAGTTAAAAAAAAAAATTCAGGGGCTCTGCCCTCGAACCCCTGGAAGGGGGGCCCCCTCCAACCCCCCATATTTTCACCCCCGGAAGATTGAAATCCTGACTACGTCCCTGATCATTGCCTCCTAAAGATGTAGAAAATTTAGAGACATATAGGATGTATAGAGATGCATTTTTTTAGGATGACAATACTGTAGAATCCGATGATGAAGATAGAGAGAAATATTTTTCAAATTTATATGAGGACGTCGAAATTTCTTTATATCATGGTTGCACAAAGTATACAAGAATATCTGCAACCGTTATCTTATACAAGCTTAAAGCTACACATGGTATATCGGACAACGGTTTCACTGAACTTCTTGATATTATCCGAGATTTGCTACCACATGGAAAACACCCTTCCTGATTCTTGCAATTCAATGAAAAAGTTATTGAACACATTTGATTTGCGGTATGAGAATTTACATGCATGCGTAAATGATTGTTGTTTGTTTAGAAATGATCTAGAGAATTTAGAAACGTGTCTAAAATGTGCATCCTCGCGGTGGAAAGTTAATGAATAGACTAAGAAGATTAAAAAAGGGATACCTGCAAAGGTTTTGCGATATTTTCCGATTATACCATGATTTAGAAGAATGTTTAGGTCACCTGATAAGGCAGAACAACTAATATGGCACTCAAATCACAAAATTCTCGGTCGAAGAAGTTAACTTTGATATGGTCCAATCATTTTTTTTAAGTAGTAGTCTTTTGAAAATTGTAGAGACGAACTTTACATTGACATATGGTATTGAATCGTATTGAATATTTTTATTTATCGAAACAATGGAAACCTTGATTATTTATGGATTAATCGCCTCCAATTAATTTAATTAAGAACAATTCACTTATCATTTCTGTTTAGGGAATGCTATTATTATCATGCCAACATCAAGTTCTCCATATTATAAATGGCTTATGGTCACATCATGATTTTTTCATCTAATTATTTTGATAGTGCAATATATGTACAATTGATCCACCACAATGCACTGGGATGGAAAATAAAGAATGTTGAGAATAAATGCATAGTTTGAACTATTATATAATATTTCAAACTCTAATGGGTGATATTTAATACCACAGTTTGCTGATTGTCAATTTAATTTGACAATTCTCTTAGCATTAGGTGGAGGGATTAAGAAACTGAAAATAATGTACAAATGTATCATTATATTACATAGATACTCACAAAAGATAATTCGAACAAGAAGTTCGAAAAAATAATTTACTTAGATGCATTTACTGACTAAAGAGACTAATAATATGTCACATCCCAGTTTTAAAATGCTACAACTCGAATTGATTTCTGAAAGGACAATTCGTTAAAATTATATCTGATATATCTTTGGCATGCCTGAAGTGTGAATACATTTGATTCTTATACAAAATTCTTCAAAAGAGAAATGGTGCATATAAGAAATATGGTCCAATTTAGGAAGCATATATTTTTGGAAAGTACATAGAGATAACAAAATTATAAAACTCCAGAAGAGGTTCGGGTACTTGAAATGTTGAAAAATAGAAAAGAATAGAATCGAAAAAAAAATTGTCGACAACACTTTTGCATATGATGTACTGCATCATATAGCGAAAAATCGAAATAAATGCATTGAAATATATTGATCGAAGTAATAATTGGCCAAATAAAAGGGACGCAATCCTAAATTGAATTTACTAGAGAAACATGAATTTTCTGGACCTACAGTCCAAAAATCTAAAAATGTACACTTATGCAAAAAGGAAATGAAAAAAGTAAAATCGTAATATGAAATGTACAACTCTTTACATAATGAATTTCGAGAAGAATTGTATAAATAGATAAATTATCATGTGGTGAATATAATCACAGGTCTCTATTTTACAATTGTGGCAATGCATGGAATTTAATATGCATATAATAAATGCGATTACAACCAACTTATCTTATATAATTTTAATATTATCCTTGAAATTTTTTATGCATGAAGCATATAATTTAAGTTATATTATCATGAGGGTGAACAAATATGCATTGTACTCTTTTTTCCTCGACCAATGTTTTATCTCATTGGGTTTTCCTAACAAGGTTTTTAACGAGACAACTTTTATAGTGTACTCAAAAGAATAAATGTACTCTTTTTCCTTCATTAGAATTTTTTCTACATGATTTTTTCTAATAAGGTTTTAATGAGGTATATTCTTTATCTAATGATGTCCATAACTTACAAGACATTTACCCTCTAAATAATACTCTGATATGTATGAGACCCTCGAAGAGATATACAAGATGGTGTTACCCTCTAAATATCTTGTATGAAGATGGTGTTATTTGAAAACATTGACATACAAGATAAGGATGAATTGATACAAGAACTGAAATCAAGGGAGCAGTTGTACCTTTTTTCCTTAGCTCAAGTTTTGGCCCCATTGGGTTTTCTTGACATGGTTTAACGAGACATTCATTATGTAATCTGTCATTCAAGTGGGAGTATTGTAAATATTATTTTATTAATGACAAGTATACTATCCCTAATTATTCCCTATAAATATGGGATTTTAGTTCTCAATATAATACACACAATTCTATTGACTTCTTTAATTTGTTCTCTTTTCTCTCTAGTTTATAATAAAACTAAGATTATAGATAACTCTTAAAGGAAAGATTGAGGTGATTCAAAGTGTGTTGGAAAATTAACTCAAAGGGTTACAATTCTTCTAGAAGTACCACTTCTCCAATTTGAACGTTTTCTATGCCAAAAATGGGTTGTAATCTAGGATTGAAAATTTGGAGCATAACTTTTTTGGCTGAAAATTGATGTTTGATAATAAATTGACTATATTTCATCCCTTCGATTTCTTTCCTCATCCAGTTGACACCTAGTACTCTCGAATCTTCATCGTGACGTCCATTACAACTTTTGAGTATTTGCACTTTAGTCCTCACCTCTGGATTTGTTCCATTTTAGCCATTTTCCTTTCTTTCTTCCAATTCTTAATCCAAACATGAGTAAAGGTTAAATTGAAGGTTACCAAAGAAGCTTTGAAAGTATGGAATAAACACGTCTTTGGAAGAGTAGAAAATGTTATTTTGGAGCTGGAAGAACTCGTGGATGCTCTTGATAACAGGTTACAAGTTTCATACTCGGAGGATGTAGAACGAGAATATTTGATTTCTAAGATTGAATTGGAGGAGTGGCATAGAAGAGAGGAAATTAGACTGTCTCAACAAGCAAAAAAAAGATGGTTGACTGTTGGTGATAAAAATTCTAAGTTTTATCATGCTGTAGTATCCCAGAGACGTAAAAAATCTAAGTTGAATCAAATGAAGCTTATAGACGGTACTATTCTGTCAAATCCACAGCAAATACATTTGGAAGCCGTGAAATATCTTGAGACTTTTCTTACGAGCGGGGAAAGCGTAGTTTTGCCAGATCTATCACAGATCATTGAGTCTGTAGTTACTCAAGAGGGGGGGAGAGGTTCTTTGTGCCTTGTCGAAAGAAGAGGAGGTTCGAGCTGTGACCGTTTTGATACCGATGGATAGCGCCCCAGGGCCTGATGGATATGGGTCAGCTTTCTTTATCAAATGCTGGGATATTATTAAAGGTGATTTAGTGGATGCAGCGAAGGAATTTTTTGGAGGAGGAATGCTACCTCGATTTTATACATCATCATATATTGTGTTGATCCCCAAGGTTGAGAATCCTAGTGGTTTTGATAAGTTTCGACCTATTAGTCTTTCCTATGTGGTATATAAGATATTTTCAAAGATCTTGATACAGAGAATGAGTGCCATCCTTTCTAGGATAATCTCTCAAGAACAAGGGGCATTCATCCCAGGCCGAAGTATTTTTGAGAACATTACACTCACTCAAGAATTAGTGAATTCTCTGAATAAAAAGGTTCGAGGTGGAAATGTGATGGTTAAAGTAGATATGGCTAAAGCTTATGATAGAGTGGAGTGGAGGTTCTTAATTCATGTATTATCATCCTTTGGGTTCCCCGCGAGGTTTTGTAAATTAATTGATCAATGCATATCCACACCATGGTTTTCAGTTATGATGAATGGAAATATGCAAGGTTTCTTTAAATCTTCGCGAGGTCTTCACCAGGGAGATCCTCTGTCCCCTTACTTGTTCATTATTATGGAAGAAGTGCTGACTAGGTTGCTGAAAAGGAGCTTTGAGGAGGGACGGATTGGGGTTTTTTTTCACATCCAAGGGGCGCACCTGCGACAACTCATTTGATGTATGCTGATGATCTAGAATTTTTGCTAATGGGGGTAAAAGGTCCATCAAAGAACTCATGAAGGTTTTGCTCCTATATGAGAGCTGGGTTGGTCAAAAGATCAGTAAGGAGAGGTCGGCTATATTCTTTTCAAAAAATTGCTTAGTGGTTCTAAAAGGAGAGGCACTTAGGGAGACAAGCTTTAAAGAAGGTCAGTTTCCAGTTATTTACCTTGGAGTTCTGGTGGTACAGGGCCGTTTGATGGCTCGCCACCTTGAGCCTTTGGTGGAGAAAATTATGACGAAAATTGCAGGTTAGAAGCTACAATTGTTGTCGCAAGGGGGTAGGTTGGTTTTACTTCGTCATGTCCTCACGTGCATGGCTACCCATTTGTTGTCAGCGTTGAATGTCTCGAAATATATTTTAAAAAGACTTAACTCCATTCTCTCATCCTTCTTTTGGGGTGAGGTTAATGGGAGGGCTAGGAAAAAATGGTGTTCTTGGGAGCAACTTTGTAGACTAGTGGTTGAGGATGGAATTGGGGTTAGAAGATTTGAAGATGTCCAACGTGCCCTACACATGAAGTTTGCATGACAATTACTATCATCAGGTTGTTTATGGGCTAAATTTTTTCAAGCTAAATATGCTAAACATGGTTTGGTTGATGTCTCGACTCTACACTGCATTGGCTCTCGATTTTGGTGCTCTATAGTTGGATGCATTTCTGAGGTGATCAAAAATAGTCAATGGCGAATCAGGGAGGGTTCTATCTCGTTCTGGTATGCTCATTGGTTAGAGGATGGCCCTTTGTCCATGCATGTATCACATATTGATCAACCAGCTCTTAAAATCAAAGATGTCTGCTTGGATAGTGGTTGGAATGTTGCTCAGTTGCTGCAACTCGTTGGGAAGCTTGTGTTATGGCTAAGGTGAGTAAATGTAGAGAAGGGGAGGATGTTCTTATTTGGAAACCAAGTGGTCAAGGTAATTTTTCTTCTAGCTGTGTATGGGACATGATCAGAGCTCGATCTCCTCAAACCTCTTGGGCGAAATGGGTATGGCATTCTACAATACCAAAAAGAATGTCAGTTTCAATGTGGAAGGCTTTATTTGGAGCTTTAAGTGTTGATTGTCGAGTTCATCAAATGGGTGTAGCCTTAGCTTCTCGTTGTGATTGTTGCCTTATGGGTAATGAAGAAACTATCAGCCATGTTCTGAGTACGGGCGATGTTGCTAATGAAGTTTGGAGAAAAGTCTCTGTGGTTTTGGGAATAAGATGGAGGTCTAAACAAAACTGGTATGATAGAATTAATTTATGGTGGGCTAGAGCATCAAAACAATCACGGGTTGGATGTTTACATGGGTTACTTCCAACTATATTGACGTGGAGATTATGGATGAGACATTGCAAAGATAGAATGGAGGGTAATCATGAAACTGTGGAGGAGATTTTTCGTCTAATAAAATTTTGGTTGCAATATGTGTCAGCCAATCTGAAAAAGGTGCGAGCTCTTTTGCAGTCTGAAGAATTACTTCTAAAAAACCTTGATATTTCTCTGGTGGTGTCTCTTGAGAGACATTTTCGAGTTATCAAATGGACTAAACCTACGGTTGGTAGAGTTAAACTCAATGTAGATGGGAGTTGTCTAGGCAACCCGGGTATGGCTGGTGGTGGTGGAGTTGTTAGGGATGATATGGGCAGATTGGTTGCAAGCTTTTCTTATTTCTTTAGATATGGTTCTAACAATGAAGCGGAACTGAGGGCGCTTATTGATGGACCGACCTTGTGTCAGGATTTGGGTTTATATTAGGTGGATATTGAATGTGATTCTTTGCTAGTGGTGTCTTGGATTTTGGCAAGGAAATGTACGCTATGGTACTTGTGGGATTTTTGGGAAGTCCTAATTGAACTTTTAAAGAAGTTTGATTTCCACGTTATTCACGAGTATAGAGAAGCTAATCAGGTTGAGGACGAGTTGGTGAAGGTAGGTGCGATGGGAAATACAAAACGGTTCCTCTCTTGTATGGAACTACCATTTCTTTGTCGGGGGTTGATTCGTCTAGATAGAATGGGGGTGTTGTACCTTCGTAAGAAAAGATAGGCTATTTTGCGTTGTTTGTTTATATTGATAGGCGTTTAGTTTGTTTGTTAATTTTCATTGGTTGATGGTCTGTTACTACGGTTTTCATCC